TTGTCCCCAAATGTATGATATTTGAGTTGCAATGCAATAAGAATAATAATAATTATTATAATAAATAAAGAAGAGCATTCCATTGACATTTTATTTTCAGACTCAACCTGGACAATTCAAGGATTCAAGGCCTTTATTGGTCACAAACACAGTTATATGTGGCATAACGCACAGTGAAATGCTTTGTGCACCTGTTCCACACTGAAAAGATATTAATATAAATATGAATAAGAATAAAACAGACAGACTCCACTTTTGTAGATTTTCAGAAACTTGTTGCTTGCTTGAGATAAAATCATTTAAACTGAATTGAGTGGGTCTGACTCAGTAGAAACGACAACAATAGAGATAATTTAAGTTTGACTGATGTTGTCTCAGGTAGACGATGGAAAAGTGGGTTTTCTGAAGGTTTGTGAAGATGGAGTTCTCTGTTTTTGCTTTATGTGTATATATATATATATATGTGTGTGTGTGTGCAGCGCCCTCCATAATTATTAGTTAAAATGTGTTCTTTGGCTTCTAGTAAATTCAGTTTTTTCTAAATAATGTCGGACCACAATGAAAAAAAAGAGGAAAATTCAGCCTTTAAGTCAAGTGCATTTATTCAGTGTGAAAAAAATCCCACATTAAAAAATAATTCTTTTACATTAAATCATGTGAGCTGCAATTATCAGCAGCCTGGATGTTCACACTTTGTACAACCTCCTTTTGCCAACAATTCATTTGAGTTGGGTTGAAGGTGACATTTTTCTACAATTGTCAGTGTGAGAGGACGCTTCTGCAATAAAAATAAAATTTATTTTAAGGATTTTAACACATCTTAACCAATCATTATGGAGGGCGCTGTAGATATATACATATATATATAGAGAGAGAGAAATGGATAAAAAAAAATAAGCAAAAACATATAAATCAAATCAAATTTCAGTTCTCAAAGTCGTGTTTTGCATTTACTGTCTTCGTGCTATTTTAGAGTCAAAATAAAGACAAAAACTAAATTTTCCAACAATCCCAAACATCCATTTGTGTAAAATTATAACACTGTAGTGGATTTATGTTTTCTTTTTCAATCCTGCCTCGGGCTTTTATACTCTTGTACCACAGGCAACCTGACAGTTTTTCTTTTTTATTAAAATATTCCAACAGTTATTGGATTAACTGTCAGAAATCCTGCATGTGAGGAAGTAAAATAATGTTGGTGATCAAAATGTCAGTGAGTAATGACATTTCCAGCAGCCTCAGCTTATTTACTAATAACACTTATTTGTGCTATTAGTGACTGTTAATAACTAACTAAGAGGCTGAGCAACATACCGACTGAACCTGTTGAAACTCCTGCTCATGAGCCAACCTCAGCGTTTGGCTCCATGTGTCTATGTGTCAGTGTGCCAGAGCATTACATCACCCAAACACACCAGGTTTCATAACAGCAAAAAGGCTGCATTCAGAATTAAAATGTACTTCTGCAGCAAAATGTGCTCAGAGGGTCAAAAGCTGTCGATTATTTCAACACTTCAGCAAACTGTCCTCCCATCGAACAGGAAGAATCAAGAAAAAAGAAAAAGAAAAACACCTCAGAATGAAATAAACACACTTTGCTCTGCTGTTATGTTGTAATTTGTTCAACTTCAGCAGCCTTTCAGCTTTAAAAATCCCCAACAATTAGGTGCAAACAAACCCTGCCCTGCACCTCGCACTCCTGTTTTTTTAAGACTTGAACAACACGTTTGTCTTTGGTATGAACTTGGAAAGCCCCACGACGTCAGCAGGCTATAAAACAGCTCTACTGGCAGCTGCTTAGTGCAGATAGCTGTTGGCCAAGATGGATAAACTCATTTTTGAGAAGGAGAACTGCGAGCGTATCCATGCGGTGGAGAATTCCTTCGGCCCGTCGGGGGAGCAGCTGTGCAAACCCGGCCGGGTTCTGATGGGAGAGGGTCGCCTGATGAAGCAGGGTCGCAAGAAGCAGCAGCCCAAAGCCTTTTTCTTATTCAACGACGTCCTGGTGTACGGCAGCATCATCCTGAACGGACACTGGCACAAGAAGCAGAAGATCATCCCTCTGGGTAAGACTTGCACACTTGAGACAAACTCAGAAAACGTGATTTGAAGAGGAAGATAAAGTTCAAAGTGCTGCATTTTTTCACTTTTAACTCGGATAATTTTCAAGATTCTTTACTGCTGAGAGCAAAACATGAAGCTTAGAAGTTAAGAAGCAATGCAAGTAAAAAATAAAACAAGAAAATGAGCTTTTGGTGCAATGAAATGACAAAAAAGCAAAATATTTAAAGCAGTATTCCTCAATTAATTCTCCAAAATTCATCCCATGTGATATATTTTGATATTTATGATGTGGTTTATTGATTTTTTTAAATACTCAGTGAGCTTTTGAACAGCCCCATGGGTATAAATAAAGTTATTTGAATTGAACACACATTTAAAATGATCTCTGAGGGTGACTCAGTGCACCTTGCTGTCACTAATCACATCAGTATTTTCATGATGTTATTATTAATGTTCCATCCTCTCTGTCACTCCAGAGGACATCCAGCTGGAGAACATGGAGGACAGCGACGGATTCAAGCACCAGTGGCTCATGCGAACCCCGTCCAAGTCCTTCTTCGTGTCGGCCTCTTCGGCTGAGGACAAGCAGGCCTGGATCGAGCACATCCAGGAGTGCCAGTCCAGGCTGCTGCAGGACGGCGGCCGCCAGCCGGGCTCCGCTTTCGCCATGACCTGGATCCCGGACCACGCCGCCCAGAAATGCATGCGCTGCTTGGGCAAGTTCACCGCCACCAACCGCCGCCACCACTGCCGGAGATGCGGCTTCGTGGTGTGCAACGCGTGCTCCAAGGAGCGGGCGGTCATCGGTCACATTCACGCCACCAAGCGGCTCAGGATCTGCAAGTTCTGCCACCAGACCCGGCAGAGGGGAGGCAGCACCTACAGCAACGGCTCGTCGGAGGAGGAGGAGGTGATCCCGTTCAGCCAGGAGGAGGAGGACGAGGAGCTGCAGAACCACATGCCCAGCAAGTGGCTGGACTCCCGCCTGGGCAGCTGGGGAAACAGAACCAGAACCAGTAGCTCGGTATCGACGACCACATGAGAACCGCTGCAGCCATGAAGGACTTTTAAATGACGACCCGGTCAAAGCAAATCATGAGATGAAGGCATTATAAACAAATGAAGGATGTGTTTTTAACTCACTTTTTATTCTGCACAAATCACTGATTGTAAATATTTCCTCAGTGTAATTTAAATGGAAAAAAATCTCAATTTATATATTTGTTGTTTTTTTATAAAGCATTTTGTTTCTGCTGCATCATCTGTGAACAATAAAATGAATCTCTTTCTCATGTTGGATGCATCAGTCTCACTTTTTCCTCCATAATTCCAGTAAATGCTTCTTCTTCTTCAGTTTATGTCACTTTTTCTTCTTTGTTTTTTAATTCTTTATTTTGGAAACACACTTGAAGAACATTCAAACCAAGCTTCAGCATGTAGAGCACGACTTGAATCTCTTTCCTTCTCTTTATCCTTTTTTATGATATAAATATATACATATACGTTACTTTTTCATGTTGTTGTTGTGCTGAAACACATCATTTGCTCGCACCAGAACAATGTTTTTGGCTGGTGCAAATTTCAATTAGAGCAACGACGGATTTATAAAACCACATGGTGGCAGCTTTATGTCTATCTTGAATCCATTTCTTACATTCTTAATATCAGAACTGGAGCTGACACTAATTCAAACAGAGTATAAATCCGTCAGCTTATGAACTTTAGAAATAGTTTTGATACCTTTGGTTAGAGACAGATGTTGGCACGATGTTTGTGAAGCAGGAGTGGCCGACAGAGAATTTAGTTTTCAATGTATAAATAGCATTTGGGATATCTGGCGCTCAGAGGGGAATATTTATTAATTTACCCTTTATTCAACCTCCATTTAGGTGCAGAGGCTTCATTTACGAAAAGATGCAGACACAAAAATAAGTAACCTGGGTAACAATAGCTGAAAAATGTTAAAAGGAAACGTTATAAATAAGAAAAACATTGATTTGAGCATTTAAAACCTAAAAAAACGTGAATAAACTATAACAACAAGAGCTGAAACCTGAATTGCCCTGAAGATAAAAAGTAAATTGAGTCCTACATTAATTTGCATGTTTTTCTAGCTGAAGGTGTGCAGCGAGTTAAACTGGATTTTCAGAACCTCAGTGAACCCAGCTGGCAGCATTTAGCATGTACGGTATGAGACAGGGCTGCAGGTGTCTCAGTGGTTAGCACCGTCGCCGGTTCACGTCCCGGTGAGGACACACTCCGGGTTCTCCGGCTTCCTCCCACAGTCCAGAAACATGCTGAGGTTAATTGGTGATTGTAAATTGTCCGTAGGTGTGAATGTGAGTGTGCTTGGTTGTCTGTCTCTAAGTGTAGCCCTGTGATAGACTGGTTACCTGTCCAGGTGAACCTGCCTTCACCCTGAGTCAGCTGGGATAGACTCCAGCCCCCCATGACCCTGGTGAGGATGAAGGTGTAGAGATGATGGATGGATGGTTTGAGACAGAACTGAAGTAACACCTCAGCATACAGCTCACAGTGATGAGTGATTATCACCAATAAAAATCTTAATGCCCAGTGATAAGCAGCTTCCAAGGGCTTAATTTAATTGGAATGAATTTAAAGTCCCCGTGTGGTCGCTGATTAAAACATTTTGCAGATCGATGAAGTTCCTGCTTCTCGCTCTGCTGCTGCTACAACAGCTCAACTACTGCTCAGACACCACAGTGCTCTGCAGGACTACAGCGATAGAGAGAGTCCCACCCTGCAGATATTTTTAGTTTGTTATGTATAAAAACCCCAAAAGTCAGTGTTTTTGATGATGTCTGTTTCAGAATTGATTTTTAGATTTTACTGATCACTTCTAAAGCTAGCCAGGACCTTGCCTCTGGCTATATCTTAGACATGTTTTCAGCCTTAGATCCTCAGGTGGGTCCCTCCTCATCGCTCCAAAGTCGAGGCTCAGATCCAAAGGCGACCGGGCCTTTCCTGTGGAACAGCCGACCTGAGGAAATAAGGCTGCAGATTCAGTATCTTATTTTAAATCACTTCTCTTATAGACTCACTTTAGAGTGATGTTCTCTTTTAGATTTTCTTTTCCACCTGCTGTCCTTCTCTTTTCTTTCTTAATCTACTTTTATCTTCAGCTTTTATCTTCATTCCCCTCTGTGATGTCATCTTTTTAATCAGTTGTATTATAATACACCATCCAACAGTGACCCAGCCTGCTCTTTTCTGTTTCTATTGTGTGTATTTTTACATTCTGAGTGTTTGCTTGCACTCTTATACATGTTGTTGACTTTTTCTTTGTGTGTCGTAAAGTACTTTGTGAATTCTGTTCTTAAAAAGCGCTCTACAGACAAAGTTTATTATTATTATTTATTATAAAATCGCTCCTCCATGGTGCTGCCTGCTTATTTAACAAAGGAGAAGTGAATAACGTTGATCATTTTTGTTATAATTCAACATTCAGCTGGAAAACCTTGAGCCCTGACATTCATGTGGATGTTAACCTCCCTGAACATTGGGGCAGATCAAGAACTTCTCTAGAAATGTTTAAATTGATGTTTTTTGCATCGTTTTATTGTCATTTTCCCCATATGCTGCTGCCTGGGCCTTGTTGATCTGAATCAAACACGTGACGAGCTGTGAGATGTTGTGTTTCTGTGTTTGTGTCGCCCGGCTGTGAGGCGATGGCAGCGATTAAGTGCGATTAAGGTGTTTTCTGCAGGAGGCGGCTCGTGCCGGTAAAGGGAGGAGGAGGCGGAGGCGGCGGCTTACCGTGAGCGTTTGTTCGTCCGGGCAGCTCCTCAACTATGTCAACAGAGAAACCTGGCTCGGCTCCAGAACTTCGAGTCCCCCTGAGGTGACAAGTCCAGAACCTCAAACATCATTTCACTGCCTTCAGTCTCTGCTTGAGCCTCTGATGATCACCTATTGTCTCGGGTAAACACATCTGCAGTGTGTTTTTTTTGGAGTGCTTTTCTAAACAGATCCTATCAAAACACATGCGAATCATTTCTCTGAATATGGAGTCAAACCGGTTTGACTCCTTCACACGCGGAACAAGGAAACGGGGCCTCTTTTTTTTTCTTCCTGTCAGAGAAATACAACACTGCTAATCATTCTTTAGTCCTTCTTTGTGCAGAATGAACTGTTTTCCTCATCATTTGGTTTCCTGAGTCGTCCTGGTTCAGACTGAGGGTCGCTAATCAAGAACATCCTGCTTCTAACATATAAAAGTCTTAATGATCAGGCTCCATCGTATCTTAAAGACCTGATTGTTCCATATCATCCTAACAGAGCCCTTCGCTCTCAGACTGCAGGTCTACTGGTGGTTCCCAGAGTTTCTAGAAGCAGAATGGGAGGCAGAGCCTTCAGTTATCAGGCTCCTGTCTTATGGAATCAGCTCCCAGTTTGGGTTCTGGAGGCAGACACCCTCTCTACCTTTAAGATCAGGTTAAAAACGTTCCTGTTTGATAAAGCTCATAGTTAGGGCTGCTCGGAGTCATCTGAGCTGTTCCTTAGTGATGCTGCTATAGGTTTAGACTGCCGGGGGATTCCCATGATGCACTGGGCTTCGCTTCTCTCCTCTCCTCTTTATATATATACATATGTATATGTTTCTATAGTTGCCTATCACCATTACATATGACTAACTCTGTGACTCCCCCCGAGGTTCTCCTGCTCTCTCTGTGGATGTCTCTGGATCTGGAGCTCCTGAACTACAGCCGCTGGCCTCACCTTCTGCATCCTGCTGCCCCACCATGATGCCTCCTGTTACAAAAGGACAATAAATTCTAATAACTTGTTTAACTGTACACTAAATTGTATAATTCATCCTACACCCACCCAACCGGTGGAGGCAGATGGCCGTCCCTCCCTGAGCCTGGTTCTGTCGGAGGTTTTTTTTCCTCTGTGGGGGTTTTTGGTTCCTTCCCACCAGCAGACTGCTGAAGCTTATAGGGAATCCAGATGTTTTGGATTGTTGGGTGTTTCTGTCTCTGCCTTTGTGAAGCGCTATGAGATGACTTGTTGTTGTAAATATGCGCTATACAAATAAAACTGGATTGAATTGAATTGAACACAGTCTGCAGTGATATTAAATAAATGCCACGAGGCGCCTTGGAATCTACACAACAGCAAAACTCAGCTAATTCCACTTCGTAGCTGCCTAAAGTCACGACTGTCCTTCTTCAGTTTATGTTACACATGAAAAACACAACAAAGGAAAAGTGTTTGGTCTGCACGTGCATCTTAGATGTGATAGATGGCGATCTGCAGTCAATGGACGCACGTGGACCGAGAAAAATTTAAGCCTCGTGAATCTGAGTTGATCTTAGTCAACATCCACAAAGTGACTCAGCAAACAGAGCGCATGAACACACACCTTTTTACACACACTTTGGTCCACTTACCTGATGGGGTGCGATTCTAAGCAGCCCACCACCAACACATCGGGCTCATGTTTAAAAAGGTCACTGGTGGTAATAACTGTTGAGATTGACTGGTGAGCTGGAGAAAATGAAGCATTTCACAATCAAAATGGTGACACAAGTTGGCAGTTATTGTTATTATATAATTATTGTACAGTGAGTCCAATTAAGTGTCGCTGATGTTTGAGCGGTTTGGCGCCAAAGTGGGCCGAACCGCATTTGCTAGTTTTCGAGAAAAATGGGGTCAAAATTTTGCGTTACATAAAAACAATCTTGGCTGTTGGAGGAGTCGTTATATGCATCCAAAGATCTTTCAACACCGTCCAGAGATACAAACAGCTGCTTCTTAATTTCCTTTTTCCGAGTGCCAAAGCGGGCCGTACCACATTTTCTACCCTTTGAGGAAAAAACTGTTTGTCTTGCTCAACAGCATTAAAGAGTTATAAGGAACTCAAGACAGATGCTTGGTGGTGGTTAGTTAATTTGTTATTTCACCTTGGGTTGAGTTTTCACCGGGCCGTCCGCCATCTTGAATCGCAAACACGTCCAACTACCTGCCATATAATGGTTAGCAATTCCTGTGGTTTGACCCAGTTTGATGCAAAGTTTCCATGCCAGAACCTTTATGGGCCAGACCTCAAAGTGGCATTGTGATGTAACTAGTGGGCTGTTGGTTGGACCACTTTGCCACCAACTAGTCGACCTAAAAACCTGAAAACTCAACGTTGGATTTGTTGTGGTTTGACCCGCTTTGGCGCTGAACCCCTAATTTATTCAGTAACGGTCAAACTACATAAACAGATTAGCTTTGTACAGATAAGGCAGATGTGTGTCATGATTAAAGATGTTTTTAATTACCATTTTTAACCATCTGAAATAAGAAAGAGGGAGCATCCACATGATGTGAGGTTGGTGCAACATTATTCTGTCGACCCAACAAAAGGTTTAGAAGGTTTATCTTTTGCACCGTGCATTTACTGAAGTGGTGGGAATCGGTGTCTTGCAGCTTAAGAGGCAGCAGAGAACCAGAATGATCTTTTACCTTCTGTCTTCAGTACACATTCCATCTTTCTGCATGACGACTTATGTATAAAGCTTTGGCCCGACGCCATTTGGCT